TATGCAGAAGCATCGCACCCACGCATGAATATGCATGCACGCACGAGCGAACTGGTAGTAAAAAAATTGTTTGCCCGTGTATCACTGAGGTTGAAGCTGAAGAAGTTATTGACAGGTAGGATGTTATAACAGACAGTTTTGTGTTCTGTGCTTAGATCATACCACAGGCAGCACAGTTCCAAATTGTCCAAGCCCAAAATTTCAAGTCTGGTTTTCTTCCCTGACAACTGAATTTGCTGTTTTCCTCATCTTATTTTGAGAAGTTCCTTCGCATTTCTCCAAGAGCTGCTTTGAACATTTGCTTATGGGTAGAGGTTTATGTTTTCTTAATCTTCTTTCTCTATTAGTCTGTAGTTTCTTGGGATCCCTCCCCCCGGAAAAGACATCTGGGAAAAGTTAGTTCAGGATGCTGTCTTTTAGCAATAGCACTTAGACTTTACAGCCCTCTCTAAGCCGTTTACAAAGTCAGCCTATTTGCCCCCAACAATCTGGGTCCTCATTTTACACACTTTAGAAGGATGGAAAGCTGAGTTAGCCTTGAGCCTGCTGAGATTTGAACTGCCAAATTGCAGTCAGCTGGCAGTCAGCAGAAGTAGCCTGCAGTACTGCACTCTAACCCATTGTGCCACCGTCACTCTTATATAGATAAGATGGGGCCTTCAGGATTCTGTTATTCTATTTTACAACAAGAAATGCCTTCTGCACCTGTTTCTTCACCTCACCCACCTCAATTAGTTGACCATCTTATTCTCACACTACCAGGATACTTTGGCTCATATAACCTAAACATGAGCCAACAGCATGCGGCAGCAGCCAAAAAACCTCATGCAATCCTTGGTTGAGTCAACCTTGAGGATCGAACTGCTGGCAGTGGGCAGTCAGCCTCAGTGGTGGGTTTCCAATTTTTTTACTACCAGTTCGCTCGTGCGTGCATGCATATTCATGCGTGGGTGCGATGCTTCTGCATATGCGCAGAAGAATTACTTCCTTAATTATTCAATATTTCAATATATTGATTTTTATGTCAATCTCCATATTCTTGATATCACTCCTTTTACTACAGATAGAATACCAATAATCATATTTGTTATGTTTAACAAACTTACTTAATTCTAATAGTAATACACAGATTTATATTGAATTATCTTCCATTGTTCCCTTTCTAATGTTTAGTTATGCCAATGTTGTATTTAAAATATATCTCCTTTCTAATCATATTTTAAAACAGATAAATCAATGTTCATCTTAGTTATATTTGACTGGTTATATAATTCTAACAATAGTAATACACATGTTTTGTTGAGATTATAACCTTTCATTATTATCTTCTTAAATACAATATGTTGTTTTCATGCCACTCAAATTCTACATATCCTTCCTTTTACTACACATAAAACGTGGATAATCATATTTGTTACATTTTAACAAATTTATATAGTTATATTCATAAGACACATATTTATATTAAGTTATAATCTTCAATCTTTTGCTTATTCAATATTCCTATTATTTATTTTTATAACCATCACCCTTTTATTCATGAACGATTGTAAGTTGAGGGATGCTTGTATTTCGTCTAGATCCCGGGTGTCAAACTCAATTTCATTGAGGGCCATGGCTGGAGTGGCCGTAGCCAGCTTGATGTCACTCGTGCTGGGGATGCCCATGGTGGCTCAAGTGCTCTACCAGAGAAAACGGGCTCCCGAGGTCCGTTTTAGGCTGCAACAGCATCCTGCAACCCTCTGCCAGCCAAAACGGCACGCATCCCTCCTGAGCTCTGTTTTTGCGGTCCGAGGCACTGCGGGCCAGTCCTTCACTGTTTCCAGGGTGGCCCCACAGGCTGGATCCAGCCCCCCGGGCCTTGTGTTTGAGACCCCTGCTGTAGCTACCTCATGTAGGAGTTCCTGATTTCTGCACCAACCCTCTCTTAATCTCCTTTATTTCCAATTGCACCAATTCTCTGCTTCTCTTTGATCCGTGATTTACGCCTGAGTCTCCTTTGTTACTTGCCCACCCCCTGTTTTATTTTTCCCCCCTCTTGTTTGTTAAATCTGTCCCTCACTCTCATTATTCTTACTTCTTCCCTCCTCGGCTCCTTATTAATGGAACTTTTTTTGTCTGCTTCACTGATTCGCCTCCCTATTAAAGAAAGATCGTTCGAAGTGGTATTTTCAGCCAGTCTCTGCATTTCAATCAGGCTTCTTCCTGCTCTTCCTTCCCACTGCTTAATTTTTTTTTTTTAAAAAAATAGTTTTTGTGTCGTTAACCAACGTGAAGAGCTTGTGTTTTCTGTGCTGCAGCTCTGACGAGGGGAAGGGGTTGG